AGTTTCTTCTCCCAAAAAATCAGCAGCATATTAATGAAATGTAAAAAGAACTACTTTATAAAGTCCCTTCTAACCCAGTCTATTTCAGTGCTTTTCAAATCCTCCAGAGACAGTCTGTATAATGCCTGTAAAAATGTTTTGTTGTTGTTGTTCTGTCTTGCCTTTTCATTAACACATGCATACACAAACAAGAAATCAAATACAATTAATGGAAATAAAAACAAAAAAGGAGTGTTCAAGTCTAGGTGTGGACTTTTTTTTGGGGGGGGGAGGGGGGGGGGGGCAGGGGGGAGCATACTATGGCAATCGTGTACTAACGGTCCTAGGAGCTTCACACCCCCTCCCCTTCCACAACCCCCCCCAAAAAATGTGCAAGCTGTCCCTGGATTTCAACTCCAATCCTTCTCAGACTTCTTCCTGAACTTTCTATGACTGGCACCATAATAGCCATCAAACTGCTTTTTAATATAACTGAAGACTGAGGCAGTAAAGGCATTAAACACGTCAGCCTTCTTTCCACTCTGCATTGGTAATTTTCCCTCCCTTAACTCAGCAGTGAAATATCAGTGTCTCAGTGTCCTTGGTCTTCCAGCTCACTATGTATGTACTTTCAGAACAATTTCTTGCTACCTTCATGAATTTTTTATGTCACAGTGGCCTGGAGTTTTCTGAGTTTGCCTCTGTGTGCTTAGGCTTTTTCTTTTTTTTTTTTTAATGCTCATCCTCAGAAGTCTGCTTCTGGTGTCACTTTCCATAATTTTTTGTTTCTATGTTTGAGATGGTAGTGATGATTGTGATGAAGTTAAATTCATCTCCTGCTGCTCTTCCAGTGCTTCCTCCTTGACGGGAAAGTCCACTCTCAAGCCTTTCACAAGGCGTTCCTTGAAATGAAGTGAACTTCATTTCTTCTTACCTCCCAGAAGCCTTCACTTACCTCCCAGAAGCCTTCATCTACCTAATCTATCAGCTCATGAGGTCAGTTTTCCTAAGAGTCGTTCCTGATATTTTGCTGTTCTCCCTTCTATGCTTTCTAAGCATCATGAACTTGTACTTCGTAGCTACTCTCCCTCAAGCGTTCATTCCAGTCCCTTTCACCTAAGGTTCCTTTGGAAGAAGGGATTATAACGTCTGTACCCTACAACTAGGTTCACTTTATTGATTTTAATATTATCTAAATCCAGATCGACAAACACCTCTGATGCAGGATTTAGCCAAAGCTTAGGCATGTAAACCCAATCATGCTGTCAAAGTCCCTGACTAACCCCTAGGTGCTTAATATGCAGTTTTCCATACTTATACTAATAAATTACTGTGGCAACTAGAATTCTATTGTCACTTGCCAAAAACTTCTGACAACGCAGCTGGACTAAGCAGCTCAGTGCCCATCCTGTACCAAATGGGATTCTCAAACAAAACATTCCTCCACTGAAATCCCCTGGGATACCCTCTCAGCAGCCATCCCTGAGCACCTGGACAGCAATATCGAGAAAGGCTCTAGCTGCATGACAGCTCAGTGGTTCAAGCACTTGGCACTGAAGAGAAAAGATATGGGTTTCCTGTCCTCCTGGGCCTCAGATCCTGATCTGGGGTCCCACAGAAAACTGTCCTAATGCAAAGTCAGCGCCCATCCCAATTTCAGATTTCCTTCCTGTGCCAGGGTACAGTTTCAAGTTCCATGACTGGGGCATTCAGGTAAGGAAAAAGAGACTTAGATTCCTATTCCACCTTCAAACACAGCTTATAGGCTTTTTATAGTAAACAGTCACTGTGCAAAAACACTGAAGAATTACTCAGAACAGAACTATGCATCTGAGGACAGTTATGTTGGTGTTAAAGTGTTTGGAGAATTAGGCACAAAAAAAAAGGTCATTTTTCAATAAAACACAATGCCATGATTTAGCGCAGATAATAGGATACAAATGACTATTTCAGTCTGCTTGTCCCTCAGTGCAGCACAGTTCGTTGTACCTGAGATAATGGCGCTCACTGACGTGACTGTGTTGCTACTAGGCAACCAGAGATAAAATGCAGGGTTTAATGATTTTTATTTAATGTGTTTTTATGAGAAAGTACACTCTTCTTTTTCCTCCCCGATATTATTTGAGGTAGAAATGCTGTTTATATGGGGAGATATATTTAGCCATCCTCTCGCAATCTGAACAAAAAAATGATTCAAACTGGATATCCAAACAGCCTGTCTATAAATATTTTTAAACATATTGACTATCACCACTATCAAACATTTATATCGTGGCAGTGGCTGATAGCTCAAATCAGCCCACCAGGGACAAGTATTCTGTAGGTCTCACAGCAAACAACAGTGACAGGGAACAGACAGCAGCTTAGGGATGTTTATGGCCATTCTGGATGTACTCTCTACATTATGAACTCTCCAGGGCAGCAAATGAGAACCTGAGACTAAATCACCCTTCACCTCTCCTGTGCTGTCATGACACCCACACCTGGCACAATCACATCACGTTTCTTCCTGTGGCTTTAGGTTGCCTTGAGACTCTCCAAAAAAGAAGCGTCACAGCCAAAGCTGTTTCTCCTAGTGGGACACTGCTCATAGGAGCTTCTGCAGCAAGACACACTTCTCTGGAAGCAAACTTCAGATTGAAGTGTCTGACCCTCAGTCTTGTTTATTTTAACTAGCAAAATGGTCTAAAACCAATTGCCCTCAACCATGTGCCACAGACATAACTGTAAACACAACAGCTTTACTTCCCCCTCCTTCAGAAGTCTCTCTATGCACAGACAGTATCACTCCTCACAACACGGTAAAATTTTTAGGCACACAATAGCTATCAGGGTTTGGGTTTTGTTTCTGCTTTTTTTTTTTTTTTTTTGTCTCTTTGCTCTTATCCTCCACATTCCCAAATGCTGCCAGTTTCTCTCACCTCTGAATTCTTATAAAAATTAAGTGTCTGTTCATACTTCAGCTAAGACGGTATAAATTGCCACACCGACCTAAACTAGGGAAGAGCAGCTTTAATACATTAAAGAAAAAAATGCGTTCATGCACAGTTCTGTCTGCATATTTCACAGCTCCATGAGGAATCTTAAAAGGGCAGGTTAACAAAAGCAATCAATTCCCAGGGCACTTCCCACTTTCAATAAATTAACAGATATCCTGAGACTGGATTTCCAGTAATTAATATTATCCTCGGCAGGGACCTCACTATGCTCAGTGCCATTCCATATTTTTAATCAATGATCAGAAACTAAAAGAAATATGGAGAAAGATTGGTGGAATAATAAATCCTAAAAAGGAAGCAGCAGCATCAGACATAATGGGTAAACTGGGATGAAACTCCCTTCAGTCCTCCTCAGTTCCCTAGTGACTAGCTCCAGACATCTGCAGGCTGACTACGCTCGGCGCTCAGGATGTTCTAGATGCCGTAGCAACATATCTCTTTCCAGTGCCTAAGATCTGAGCTCTTAAATCCTAACACAACGTTCTGGATTCCACTCTGTAAGCAAGACATTTCAAAGTTCAGCTAACAAGGCACTGCATTTGGTCTGAAATTCTTATTTTTCCTAACTCTTCACTTATGCTTCTCTGCCCATTAATTTGTCCATAAAAATTAGAGTGGAAAAATAATATTAGTGTGCCATCCTGCAAAAAGCATATCAGGTACTAAATAGTATTGAAAATGCAACAAACTCGAGGTGGACACCGCTCATGGCAGAGCTACTAAACACTCTTAAGTGGGATTATAGCAAGAAGGATGTCACATAATTACTGTTCTCTGACAAGAAAATTCTACCCCATCATATGTGGAAAGAATAGTAGAAAGAGAGAATGAGATGGAATGTAGGAGGAAGGCTTTGATCCACTTAAATTCTCTAATACACCAGAGTATGGACAAAGTATGAAGGGCAAGTGAATAGAAGGAAGAGAAACGATGAAGGATTCTTTATTTCATTTTTAAATAGAAAAATATTTTAAGCCTTTCTTGAAAACCAATTGTGAAAATTCATATATTGCTGCTGAAATGTCACTGTAATTCAAGTGACAAATTCTAAGGGAAATCATACAGTATTATTTGTTGAAGCTCTGTGCAACACAAAGAAATAACTCAAGTTCCAAAATGTATTATGCAGACATGTTTTTATAACAAACATCTTTTCCAAATAAGTTTTTACACACAAAAAAAAAGAAGAAGAAACACAAGCCTCTTCCATTTAGAACTTACTAAACATGTTCCAGAATAGTTTCTCTTGATCTTACTGTAAAATCCTATTTAGCTTTTATTAGGCTTATAAAAAACTTACCACGGAGCAAGAAAAAGCCAGTAGAGCAGTCTATCTTTTGGATGTTACTTTGCTTTAGCAACTCTTCAGTCACCAATATATTTCCAGTCTAGGCTGTGCCATGTTTTTAAACATATTTTTAGACAGCAAGGAAAAAGGACCAAAAAAAAAAAAAAAAAAGGGACAAGACTGGAAGAAACTTCTAGATCTAGTCCACCTCCTTACCAGAAGCATGATCAAATGTCGCTATGTCATGACTGATATTTATCTAACTTATTCTGAAAGATCTCCACTGTGAAAGCTCCATGACCTGCCCAGTCTATGCCGGTATGTATTTATCTTTATTATCAGGACATTTTTCATAATGTCATATGTAATTCTTCTCAGACACAGCCTAAGCCTACTGTTTCTTCTTTTATCCACATATTCTTTATTTTAACATCTTTTTCCGTATTTGAAGCCTGTTCCCATGTCTCTCTCCCAAAGGCTAATCACAGTGAACACAAAGGCCTTGCTGGGATCAGAGAAATAATAACCGGAGGAACTCTGGTAAACAAATCCTTAAAACCGAACTCATTGATTTGGCTACTTCTACCACTCATATCAACAAAGAATTAGTAGACCATTGTCCATAGTATGAAATCCACCAAAATTAGTCAAAGAAGGGAACTCCCTCCCCACAATGCCACACAAACCAAAGGGGTTTGTTCCTACAGGGAACTTGGTACACTTCAGTTCCCTACCTCCACCACAGTTGTCTTGGCAGCTTTGCACATAGGTTGGTTGAAGTTTCTTGCAGTTTTCCTGTAAAAGAAAAGAAAATGAATAACTACTGAAAGCTGTAGATGTACATGGAAACACCTCTTAGAACTAACTACTGCAAGTATCTCTCTAAAATAAACAACATACATCTTTTTGCCAAATAGCCAGGAGACTAATAAAAAAAAGGGGAAGGAAAAATATTGCAGAAGCGTGTAGAATGCATATGAAATTAAATTGTATTTTACTACATTAGAAAGCATTAATTACAGCTCCTCTGAACTTTTAATCAGCACATTTTTTATTGAAACTAGGTGTGCTACTGATACCTTCATTTATCAGACGAAAGAGCAGCAGAAAGCTGTGTAAAATGTCCCTTCCTATTACTCCATTGCACACAGAATGAAATTTATCTCCACGAAGGGGCCAGCATAGGGCCTAACAACCTCTCAAGTCCCACATATGCCTTCATAATTCAGCCTAGGCAGCAATACGGACTTGGACTAGCATTCTGTGCAACAGTAAATTTAATCCAATTCTCTTGATTAAAAAAGCTGTGCCAGTTTTGCTGCTCACTACAAGCCTCTGACATTTTTGTCTTAATTGCCATACAGTGTTTCTGTAAAAAGGAAAAATTATCTCTAGGAAGTAAAAGGAACACATGACACTATAACTATGCCAGGATCTGCACCCAGATCCCACTGGGCACAAGGAACAAAAGACCCACGTCAGCACCTCTATTTTCCAGAAAGCAAACAGCTGCGGGGCATAATATTTGAGTCAAGGATACATATTTTGGTGGAGTTTCACTGACAGCTTCTCAGCATTTTTCTCTTTTAAAAAGTACCGTTCTTGAAAATTTTTCACCAAAATGCATGCAGCTGAGGTTCAAGTGTTTGCCATGAGCTAGGTTAGGCAGGGACCTGTACATGTGTGTCCACTATCTTGGATTAGATTCCTCTCCAAGTAAAAGGGAACTGAAAGATCTTGTTTTTGATTTGTATTGCAAAAAAAAAAAAAAAAAAGTCAAAACCTCATTTTTCTGTTTCCACGGAAGTTTTTTTTTTTCCCCTGACGCTCCTTATTTTCCAACGTATTTTCTTCATTTCTTCACCCTTTTGTCTAGGGACTGTTTCTAGCGCTACAGCCATGCCCCCTCGTGGTCTTGGAGGCGTCGGGGGTTGGCCGAATGCTGAGGCGCAGCACCTACCGTGCAGTTTTAAGATCATTTCTAATGTAGAAGAAGGATAGAATGAAAACTGTACCCCAAGGCACACATCTGGGGCAGCACTGGCTTATTAGAAATGTACAGCAACTGCAAAGCCCCTAACAGCGGCTAAGGGGCCCCATCTGTGGCTGTGTAAACACAAAAGAACGTAAGAAGAAGAAAGCATAAAAAATGATTAAAGTTTATAGTCTTCTCTCAGTGCACGAATACAACACTAGTTGGCAGCGATTTAGGAAACTATAGCCTTAAACTAGGCAGAGGAGAAAATGAGAAGAAAAATAAAGTTACAAAATAGAAGGACACAGACGGGGGAGGGCTGAAGTGGCAACAAAGAGTTCAGCATTTCTTCCCAAATGACTACTTTTCTGAGCCAAAGTCTTTCTCAAGATCTTACTGGTTGATCTGCCTGTATAAGAAAGTGACACAAAATTATTTTAACACAAGAAAAAAAGTTACAAGAAGAAAAAATTCCAAAGGCAAATTGAGAAGAGTTGATGGTCTTGATTCCCACTCTATTGATAAAAGTTTCTTCACTTTGAAATGTTTTTGGGTAGTAGAATTGCTTCTGAAGAAGTAGTCGTCTATAAGATCAAATTTACCTCAAAGGTCTTAGTTCTGAAGAATACACCAATCAGAAGGAAAAAAAAAAAAGAAAGAAAAAATAGAATATTAAACTTACTTTCCAACACAGAATAATGTTCAGGTTCTGAGGGTTTGAAATCCAGAAACTAGCTAGCTAAGTCTACCTTTTCCTTTTAAGGTACCTTACTGGATATTTAGACTCAGCAATGCATACAAAGCTCATTGTTCCAGCAGACCCATGGGCCTCACAATAGCTTTTCTGCTAAAGGCAGAAGATAGCAAATTAGTTCACAGTAAGATAAAATAACCAAGCGTCTACCTAAAGGTACCAGGGTGAAAGGATACTTCAGATATGGGCTGATTTAATGTATTGCAGAGCCACTTGAAGGATGAAGAGACAACCTGACATGACTGCCTGCGATAGTCAGGATACTGCTTCAACTTCTCTGTTCCCATGTCAAAAGTATACTTTTAATGATATAAACCACAAACTCTCACCTTACAAGTGAAGGTATCAGGCCAGAACAACTCCAAAGCTGAACGGTACTAATGAAAAGGGAATGCAGCCAAAATAAGTAGAATATCCACATATGCAGTGGAGCTCCCTGCTGTTGTCCTACCAAGGAAAGATCTTCTAAGGGAGCTATAAGACCTGGAGACAAGCTGTTCGGCTAAGCAGAACTACTACCCACCACAGATTACCAAAGTTATGCACCCATATATGCATCCTTACAGCTAGCATAGGAACAAGGTGGAATTATTTCATCAAATTTGAAGAAGTCTTGGATCGGTAGTCTTGGTAATGGTGCATTATAACTAAGAATGATTATCTACTGAGCCAAAAAAACAGGTCTTGTTAGGCAAGGGTTGTGTTGCAGAAGTCTGCTCAGCCAAAACATATCTGGAGGGAAGGCAGCCACAGCATACTGTATGGAAGAAAACTGAAATGGGACATAAAGCCTCATATAGAAACTCTTGTTTAAAAATTGATTTCTAAAGGACCCGGTGCCGTTCAGGATCCAGGCAAAAATCACGAAGGAATCATTTTGACTTCATGTACAAGATCAGACCAAAAAAAAAAAGAAAAAAAAGTTTCACTCACTGGCTTGTGTGGTCCAAATAATTCTATTTAGATATAGTTTAAGTACACCTTTTAGACATAAAAGAAGCTGAGGGTAACTAACAGCGTGGCAGACTCTTAATCCACTCCTATTGGCACAACAGGTATCAGAATCTTGGGAAAAACACTATAAATAATATCCCACTGCTGTGAAAGCAGGGGCAGATATGAGGAAGCAAAGGGTCTGTGCTAACCTAGGTGGGTCTCAGCAAATGGAAAGGGAGGTCATATAGTAAAAAGTAAGTATGGAACGGTTCCACTGACATAAGCAGAATGGAACATGATATCAAAAAACATATTCCTTTTCAACTTGTAGGCTGCAAATTTAACAGCAAACTATTCCAATTTCCTTCTCTGTTGTCTCTGGCAGGCTATGAGAACAGCCTATGTTTTACTGTTCTAGATCATCAGGCAATGTGTGTCATTCAAAAAGAGAATGGGTCATCGCTTAGTATAAGCAAGTTCTTTTAAACTAGCAACACTATGCATGGATTAAGACATTAAATGTTGATGTTTCCATCTTTTAGTAGTAGCATTTCAAAGGAACAGCTAAGATTTTAGGTCTCCCGATGGAACTAGTTTTGGTATCAACTGTACCGTGTGAATTCCAGGGAGAGAGGGAGACTTCTGAAAAGAACGGGTGGCAAAGTGAGAAAGAAAGACCAAAGGATGCAAATGTGAGAAAAAGTGAGAACACAACCAATTTGTATCTGTGAGGTATGAAAGAAATTCAGAGATAAGTAACCATCAGGGGACAGACACCAGGTAGAGGCACAGAAAGGAGAGGCTCAAGATCAAAGTTAAGACAAATCAAAGGAGAAAGACCACATTTTCTATATTCCATGTCCCAGAGCCCAAGGAAAGCAGTTTAACAGCCAAACTTAGGTGTGTGTACACAAGAAAGTTCAATTTTCTATCAGAAGCAATCTTATCTTGCCAGTGGGGAAGCCAGTACATCAAGCATTGGGGGGCAGGGGGAGGGGAAAAGTAATTCTCTTCACTTTATTTTTTGCTTGTTTGTTTTACCTATATTATAATTATTATAGATAGAAATATTTATATATATATGTATAAAATGGGTTATGACTGCTGTTTTCTCAATACCTTGTTTCTTCTAATACATAGAAAGGCAGACTGCATCACTCAGCACTTTCTTGCCGTAATCTGCAACTGATTGCTATAACACTTCCCTTCTCATCTGATAGCCATAAAACAAATAAATAAAAACCAGGCATTAAACATAAGCAAACCTCTCCTTCAACTCAGGACAAACCAGAGCACCACTATAACAACCTAAATAAATGTTATCACTAGCACAATCTTTTCACTACAAGATATAAGCTTTGCAAGCTTTTAAAGTCAAGTGTAAGCTTTTCCCTACAAAACATGTTTAAATTCACATAACGCCTCTCCTTACACCACTGAGATTAAACACACTCTTTTCTGGGGACAGGATTAAGCTTTCTCATTACTTACTGGCCAGGACAAAAACTCAGCTCCTCTCTGTTCTGATGTGTATGAACCTACACTTTCCTTGGGTCAGCCTTCAGATGTACAAGAAACAGGACCCAAACTTTCACATGAAAATTGCAATGTGAACAGAAAGTCATTATGTTTCTCAACAGTCAACATAATGGCTTTTATCTCCTATGCCTCATTTTTAACTACCAATGTATTCGTAGTTAATATCAGCTGTATTTGAATTCTCAGACGCCATTAGAAAAAGCAATTATATTCTGTTTTTTATAGCAGTATTATCTGAGA